GTTGAAAAATCATTTTCTAATAACAATTGATCATTGAATCAAAGTCATAGCTTTAATTCATTTCTTACAGCCAGGGGGTTGGCTTTATGTTATTACAAAAGATGCACTGTAAAAAAATATGTTCTAAGTCTCAGATACTCTGTCTATGGTTACAACATGTAGTAAGTGACAGATATAAAACTTCTATGCCTATGACTTTTCACCACTATATGAACTTGCCAGTCACTAAAATAACCAAAGTAAATGTCTGTGTTTGAACATAAACCTCACAGGTCGTTACTAAAAAAGAAATTCAACACTATAAACAAAGTGAGAGACAAGCCTCCTGGGGAAGCTCTCTTGTGTTTGCATTTGTCTCTTGTTCATGATTTTACTCCTTATATCTACAAAAACACCAGTCAGTTATTCTTATTTAATAAATAATTATCTAATGAATAAATTACATGTGTCTGTTTTTCATGACATAATTATAATTTCTATTTCTTCATAAGCTTCCATTTATCTTTTTGAGCCAAAATGATCTTCTGAGAATACTTTTAAAATTTGTTTGATCTACATACTTTGCTCCATGTACTTGGGATTCTACCTATTGGGTAAATTCTTATTCCTCAATATATGTTGTTCATCAATTTATAATTTTACTGTGATAGTTTTATTCTGGGTAAATCCAATCAATATTTTATACTTCCATCAGTAGAATCAAAGTTCCTGATGCCATACATGGTACATATGAGGCCTTCATAATCATTCTTTTTTCTTATTTATCTGCTAACTGATAAAGCAAGAGGAGAATAACTTTTGGTCCCTGAACATAACTCCTTGATTTCTTATTATTACAGAAATTTTCATAATAGTTGTTACTATCAGATATGCTTCCTGAGCACTGATATGAACCAGGTTTCCACATGAATTAATTCATTGAATCCCCACTAACAACTGGGAGTTAAAAAACTAGTAACTTAGTTAACCAAGGTCCTAATGATAAAGGCTTTCAGGATCAAATTCAAACACAGGCAATCTGGCTCCTAAATCCTTGCTCTTAACTATTGACTTTATATTTCTCATTTTTAGTCCCTAATTAATAATCATATGACAAATAATGCTATTCCCTTTATGTCAACTGAAATGCTCCAGGTATTGATGAGTTTATGAAAAGATGACCTCTTTCTCATGAAGTCACAGAGCGGACTCAGCAGCACAGCACCATTTGATTCAAAGATGTTATGGAGATGAGTGCTCAGAGTAAAGGTACAGTCTGGACACCATTGTCGACCTCCAAGAAAGAAGAGAATGGATTTTGAGGGAGAAAATACTACAAAGAACTATAGGAAAACATGGTATTGAATTTTGATTACCTGAGTGCTTTCATTTCTGTCAGATGAGACAAAAATAATTCACTGCTTATGGGTCCTCTCATTGCAATGCAGTGAGCATAATGGAAAAAAAAAATCAGAGTGCTCCGAGCCTCCATCTCATGAAGGAGTATCTTAATTCCTGACCCTAAGGTAAGTAGAGGATCATCATCTGGAATATATGATTCTTCTTCCCAGTAAAAGCAAGAAGTGTTGTCTTGGTCTCCAGAATCAGTTTTACATCCCTTGAGATAATTCAGGTACTAGGTTACTGATGGACAAGCCAGACTATGAGAAAATACTGGAAATGTCACATCTGATAAAGAACTTGTGTTAGTCAGCTTTTCAATGTTGTGACCAAAATACATGAAAAGACCAACTTAGAGGAGAAAAAAGTTTATTCTGGTCCACAGTTTTAGAGACTTAGTCCATGGTTAGCCAGGTGAGATAGCACACCCTGGGAGAAGAAGCACTGGTGGAAGGAATTTGCACAGGACATGGTGGTTGGGAATCAGAGAGAGAAAAGGGGGAAGAGGCCACAGCGAAGACTAACCCGTTCAAGGAATGCCCCCATGTGCCATCTCTTCCAGTCACACCTCATCTGCCTTGAGTTACCACTAAGCCCTTTCAAAAGAAGATGGACTGATTAGGTTACAGCTCTCGTGATCTAATCCTTTACCTTGGAAATCTCTGTATTAGCACAGGAGATTATGGGAGACACCTCATTTCCAAACCAAAGAGTCCAAAATATACAAAGAAATCTTGAAGTTCAGCAATAAGAAAATCTCAACAATAAGAAAAATAAACCTAATACAAATGGACCAAAGATCTAAACAGATACTTTACCAATGAATATGTACAAATAGCAAATAAGCATGTGAAAAGAAACTCCATCTCATATGTCATCAGGGACATGAAAATTAAAACAATAACATACCACCGATATACCTATTAGAATAGCTAAATGAGGAACACAATACGACCAAATGCTGGTGAGGACATGCTGATGGGAATGCAAAAGGGTACTGCCAGTTTGGCAGCTTCTTACATAATCTTTTGGTATGATCCGGCAATTAAGGTTCTTGGTATTTACCTAAAGTGCTTGAAAACATTTGCCCACATCCCAATAATTGTTAATTGCCAAAATGTGGAAGCAGCTACTAATGGGTTTCTGGAGAAGAATGTCTAAATAAACTGATAGATCTATAAAATGATAACTTATTTGATGATAAAAGAAATGTGCTATCAAGACATGAAGAAAGTATAAACACGTTATGAAGTGAAAAATTTCAGTTAGAAAAGACTGCATACTTTATGATTCCAATTAAATGACAGTCTGGAAAAGACAAGCTATGAATACTGTAAAAGTCAGTGATTGCTAAGATATGGGTGGGAATGGAATGAATAGGTAAAGCACAGAAGACATTTAGAGCACTGATATCATTCTATATGATACTATAATGGTAGGTACATGTCACTATGCATTTGTCCAAGCCTATTATGATATAAAACAACACAGGTGACCCCAATGTAAACCATGCACTTTGGGTGATAATGATGTGTGAATTTAGTTTCATGAATTGTAATGAGTGTACTACTTTGGTGGAGGGTGTGCTTATGGGAGGTAGGAGAGGGTTATCAGTATATGAGAAATTTCTGTACCCTTCTCTTGATTTTGCTGTAAAATGTAACTACTCTAGAACTACTGTTTTAAAAGAATATGGTGGGAGTGTGCTAATATGTGATGGATGTAATAATGGTAAATGTGAATAACAAAGACAATAACATTAAAAATTAACAGATAAATGGACAATATATATAGAAAATGCAGATAAATTTAAAAATATTAAATGAAACCCCATCTGATTCAAAATTAAATGAATTATTTATATAAATAAACCAAACCTAACTGATAAGTAAAAGCCAAAAAGTTTGGTAATACACAAGGATTGGGGGAAACAGGTATGCTTCCCCATCAGCACTGTTGATGATACGAGAGTAAAACTTATCCAGGGGACAATTTTTTGAACTGCATGGCCTACTATAAATATATCCTTTTCTTTAACAATATTTTATATCCCTCTATTGAGTCATCAACTATTCTATTCATTTATTTTAACTTTTTGTTTTGCTTACCTTTTTGTTACAATAAACTCTTATTTTTTAGTTATTGATGGACATAATATCTTTAATTTATTTATTTATTTTTATGTGGCACTGAGAATCGAACCCAGTGCCTCACATGTTCTAGGCAAGCGCTCTACCACTGAGCCCCAGCCCCAGCCCCTGTCTTGCTTACCTTTTAATGTTCTATTTCTCAGTTTCTCAGGTATTTCCAACTTTGTGGGAAACAATCATTTGCAGGTGGTAGTGGAAAGTGTGGTGGTCTGGTACTTTTATATTTCTTACAAGGTTCTTCATCCTCTCCTTTCCAAACACCCTCAACACACACATGGGTACTATGCATACACACACACACACACACACACACACACACACACCATTTCATTTCCCAAGGATTCAAGGGTAAGAGGGTAGGACTTCTACTAAAACTTCCCATGAGGTTGGTGGCTTCTCCCACTGGGCCCAGATTTCATCGTTTCCTGGTCTGCTCTAGAAGCTTTAATTTTTCCATATATTCTCACCCTCAAAAATGTCATTGATATCACTGTCAATATCTTTTCTGTATTTTATGGGATTGTGCCCTTTTCAGTTTCCTTACTGTGTTTTAATTGGGTTTCACAGTGATGCAGGATAAACTATACACGTAGTCTTCCCCTGCCCCTGACAACTAGCCCACTGGAGGCCTTGTTAGAAACCAGCTGATGTAGGTGACTGCCCTGAACTACTCAGCACTTAGACTTCTTCAATGATACTTCTGTTCCCTCCCTCCCTTTTGAACACCAGCCTGACTTACCAAAATGAGCCCCCTCCTCTGCATGATGAAAGCTGCTTTCTCTTGCTACATTGTTTTTGCATGTGAGGTTGTTTCTCCTCCTTTCTTCTCTATGAAGAACCTGGTGTTTTCTTTTCTGTCCTGGGTTTTTTTCCTTTCTATTGGACAGTTGCCTTCCTACCACTTGTCCTTCTACACTCGGCTAGGGAGAAGTTTTGCACATTCCACAGTCTGTGTGTGTGCTGGCTCTCTAAAAATATAAGACACAGCTGTGTCTACATAGGTGACCTGGGACAAGGTGTGGTGACTGCATGGATGGATACTGAAGGGAGACAAGTTTCAGAGCAAAGACAGAATGCTGCCCAAATAGAAGCCACATTCCCCAAATCCCTGTCATCTTTGTGCCACTTCAACTACTATGCTTTAAGGACTCCACATTGCCCACTGATAATGTAGATGTTATTTGTCCCAGATAAAATTATTTTCCAAATTTTTGGGGAAAAATAATGTGGGACTGCACTTTGTCTACAAGAATGACTACACAGACCACTTTCTTGTTTACATGGTTTTACTTTGAAATTACTTAAGTCTGCTTAAGGAAGTATCACCGCCAGCCTCCACTGTCATTTTTACTAATGAAGAGCTGAGTTGGGGAATGTCCATTTTTATTGTTCTGCTCTGAGAAACTGAGCAGCACACACTACAGACTGCTGAAACCAGAGTGAATGCCAGAGGCAGATGCTCAGCAGCCAGGCCCCTGGGTGCTGCTCAGAGTTTGTGCTCAGCTCCCCCTGCAGTTTCTGCCACTGTGTCACCCAGAGCACAGTAGTACACAGCCGTGTCTGACTCTTGGATGGAGGCTTTCTCCAAGTGGAAGGAGGTAGTTTCTTTCCTGTATGTGGCTTCAAAACCTTTCTCGCTTCCCTTATCATTGGCCTTCACGGCTTTCAGTAGGAGCTGTGGACCTTCTCCAGGGTATTGAACATACCAGAACAGGTAAGCATACCCAATGGATGAATAAGTGCAGTTTATAGTCAGAATAGACCCTTCTGACATGGTCAGTTGACTTTCTGTCTGGGTCACTGATTGTCCATGGGTCCTTCCTAGGGGGAAAAAGTGATCTGTGTCATCTTGGTGAATAAACTCCCAGATAAATTCATAGCTAATGAATTGCTAACATAATAGAAGAAAGACACTTTACTCACCAAATATCAAGAGCATCACAGTCACTAATCCTGAAGAAGCGTTCATCTTTATAGAGTCAACTAAATAATGTTCTTGATTCTTAACATGAAGAATGTTGAAGTCTTAGAGAAATAATAAACCTAAAGTTACAATTCACACAGGAAGTGAGCTAGGGTTAGGAAGCTGCACCCCCTGGTGGACAGGGACTGATCTGGGAAGAATGATTTCCTAGACTCCTTTCAGAAGTCAGAACTATGTCCCCATCCCTGGCCTCATTATTAAGCACATATTAGTCTTTAGGAAGCCCTTGTAAATCTAAGGGACAGCTATCATAATTTCTAAGGTCTTTTTTGTTCTTAGAACTCTATCTGACATGTAAATGCTTTAGTTGAACATCCTAGAATGTCTTTGTAACTGATAAGATACCACTTATCTTGGACATTGTAATTCAGGCCTTTGTATTCTCATGCATCTCATTGAAATGACATAAAAGTGTTTGGGGTTTGAATCTTAAGAAGTAATAAGAATTCAAGTCATAATTCGGAGATTGTATGGTTTTTAGCATTGTACTCCACCTGTGGAACAGTGACTGACATTTCATAGGTGCACAATTAATATGTACTAAGTGAAACAACAATAATAAATAGGTGGCTTTTGGATGAGGGGTCACTACTAATGGAAAGACTACAGTTTCTCTGTCTTAAAAATAATATCAGATTTTAGAGATATTATCTTTTCAATAAGAGCTTTTTGGAGTTAGGTGGGTCACTCACTATCTAAACAATACACAAGTATTCCAGAATTTCAAATCATTGCAAAGCAAAACATATGACAGAAGAACATGATAATTAAAGCAATTGGATCCCTAGAGAATGATCCAAGATCAATGTCTTATTCCCCACTATTTCAATGGATCCAAGACAAGAAGTCCAACTATGCAACTCAGCAGGCGCTAAAGCTACACTCCAATGCAGGTCTGGCCTCAAGCGCTTTTCACAAGGGAGACAGAGTTTAATCCAGTCTGTTGCCTGGAGTTCTCTCTCCACAGATTCAGAAAAAGGATCTCCTGAGTCCAGAGTCAACCTGTAATAGCTTCTCAGATATATAGATAAGTAATTCAGGCCCAGATATCTGAGTGGGTCATCTGTCTCTTCTCCCCTTCCTTTATCTTCCAGATCCCAGTATCAAACACTGACTCAAAACCATACTAGAAAGAAATTCTGGAAAATTAGTTGCAAATTTTTATTCTGATATGTGGGCAGACATCAAAATGAGTTGGAATGGTGTTGAAATATCAACAAAAATAGTACAGCACAGAGTTCAGTCTGACAGAATAAAAATAGTTCAGCTGCAAAACAATGTGAATGTACTTAACAGTATTCTTAAAATCATTAAGGTGGTCATGTTTTTAAGTTGGTGTGTATTAATTATACAGAATGGTGAGTGTCACTGTGGCATGTTGATACGTGCATACAACACAATTTGATCAATTTCACTCCCCAGTACCTCCCCTTACTCTGCTGTCTTCCTTTCCCAAATCTCCTCCCTCTACCCTGTTGGCCTCCCTTCTACTTTCATGGAGTCCTTTGTGTTTTTTTTCCCTCACTCTTTTTCCACTAGCTTCCACATAACAGAGAAAACATAAAGTCCTTAATTTTTTGAGTCTGGATTACTTTACTTACCCTGATGCTGTCCAGTTCCATTCATTTTCCAGCAATTGACATAGTTTTATTCTTCTTTATGGCTGAATATAACTCCATTGTGTATATATACCAGTATTTCATTATCCATTCATCTGTTGATGGATACCTATGGTAGTCCCATAATTTTACTATTATTGATTATGCTGTAATAAACATGAGTATCCTTGGGTAAGTATCAAGGAGTGGTATTGCATGTAATAGAGCAGTTCTGTTTTCAGGAGTTTTGAGGAATCTCCATACTGTACGAATTTCCATTTCTGCTAACAATGTATAAGCCTTCCTTTCCCTCACATCCTCACCAGCATTCATTGTTTATTTTATACTTTGTGATTGTCATTCTTTTTAGAGTGAGAGAGACTTTCAGTGTAGTTTTGATTTTCATTTCCCTGATGGCTAAATACATGGAACACTTTTTCGAGTAATTGTACACCAAGTGTACTTTTCCTTTTGAAAAGGGTCTGTTTAGTTCATTGGCCCATTTGTTAATGGGTTACTTGGTCTTTAGGGCTGAGGTTTTTTTTAAATATGTATTCTGAACATTAAATCTCTGTTGGAAGAGTAGCTGGCAAAGATTTTCTCCCACTTTGTAAGCTGCCTCTTCACACTGTTAATTGTTTTCTTTGCTGTGCCAAAGTTTTTAAAATCCATGTTATCCAATTTACTAATTCTTGCTATTGTTTCCTAAGCTATAGGAACCCTATTCAGGACGTCATTGCCTGTGGCTATAAACTGAAGTGTTTCCCTTGTTTTTTTCTTGTATTAATTGCAAAACTTTCTGGTGTTATACCTAGATATTTGCTCCATTTTGAGTTAACTTTTGAGCAGGTAAGAGATAGACATCTAATTTCATTCTTCAATATATGGATATCCAGTTTTTCCAAAACCATTTAGTAAAGAGACTGTGCTTTCCCCCAACATATCATGTTGGCACCTTTATCAAGCATCAGATTACTGTAATTATGTGGTTTTCTGTGTCTTTTATTTCATGGTCCACATGTCTGTTTTTATGTCAGTATGAAGTGGTCAAATTTATGTTATGAGTCTTTTACCACAATTTAAGACAATTTTTTAAAATTGTAAAAGATACTTCCTTTTAAGATTTCTTCCCATACCTCTGCTTTCCAAATGCAAATATGAGAGTAAATTACAAGGCAAGTTCACTTATTGACTAATGACTACCATCTAATTTTACATCATGAGAAAATGGGGTTATAGGTAGAAGGAGGAAATCAGAGAGAATGAAGATTTGGGATTATGGAACATCGACTGAGCACAGCAGGACTGGAGGAGTGCAAAATGTTCCACATGATGGACTAAATGTTTTTGGAGATGAAGGGGAGGACAAGAGCAGAGAAAAGAGAGAACTCATTCTCTTGTCCCTTCACACTGTCTCTCCAAGAGTTAGCAATGACGGACTATTTTATGGGTAAGATTGATACGAGATTGCTGCAGGTCAGGTTTACCAGTAGTATAGAAGTTAAGCTTTTTCATCTCAGATGTGGTAACAAGGCCATAGATGGAGTAAGTGCTCCAATTGAATCACACAGTAGGTACTCACTAGTCATTATTTTGAATAAATTAATACATAAGTAAATATCTTGTATAAAAATCAAGCTTCACTATTCTGTTATTCTTACTTATAATTTCTTAACTTAAAAATTTGTGTCTATATTCAAGAGTGAATGTTTTTATTGTTCTCTATAATATGTTGGATTAAGGTTAGGCTAGACCCATAAAATAAAATTTATATGTCTAGGTAGTATAAACACACTGCAACTTTTTTAAGAGAGAGAGAGAGACAGAGAGAGAAAATATTTTTAATATTTATTTTTTAGTTTTCAGCAGACACAACATCTTTGTTTGTATGTGGTGCTTAGGATTGAACCTGGGCTGCACGCATGCCAGGCGAGCGCACTAGCGCTTGAGCCACATCCCCAGCCCTACACTGCAACTTTTAAAGGCAAAAATTCTTAGCTATATAACCAATGTAATTTTTAGATAGCATTTCTTTATGTTTGGAATACCAACAAAAATGAATACGTAAAATAAAATTCAATTGAAAAAGTGTACACATGGAGAAGAATATGTAGGAATACATTTAAATAAATCTAATTTAAGATAACCTTCAAATACAATTGAGTAACACAAAATGTCCCTTATGAATTGAGAAAATACCTTTATTCAAATTAAGAAATAATAAGTCAATATTTCCCATGACATATTCTATTAATGTAATTCCAACTTTCTGGTTTTATTTTTTCCCTTTGTTTTAAAGGAGTTTGTTGAACTTGTGAAAAATAGAGCACAACTTTTAACATTTGTGTTAAAAAATAATTGTGCAAGTTCTAAGAGGAAAATTCATTGCATGGAGTTCATTCCTTAAAAAAAGAAAAAACCAACAAATAAATGATCTCATACTTCATCTCAAAATCCTAGAAAAAGAAGAGCAAAACAACAGCAAAAGAAGTAGAAGGCAATAAATAATTAAAATCAGAGCTGAAATTAATGAAATCGAAACAAAAGAAACAATTAAAAAAATTGACAAAACTAAAAGTTGGTTCTTTGAAAAAATAAACAAAATCCACAGACCCTTAGCCATGCTAGCAAAGAGAAGAAGAGAGAGAACTCAAATTACTAGTATACGGGATGAAAAAGGCAATATCACAACAGACACTTCATAAATACAGAAGATAATCAAAAATTATTTTGAATCCTTATACTCCAATAAATTAGAAGATAGTGAAGGCATAGATAAATTTCTTAAGTCATATGATCTGTCCAGATTGAGTCAGGAAGATATAGACAACCTAAACAGACCAATATCAATTGAGGAAATAGAAGAAACCATCAAAAGACTACCAACTAAGAAAAGCCCAGGACCGGATGGGTATACAGCATAGTTTTACAAAACCTTTAAAGAGGAACTAATACCAATACTTTTCAAGCTACTTCAGGAAATAGAAAAAGAGGGAGAACTTCCAAATTCATTCTACGAGGCCAACATCACCCTGATACCTAAACCAGACAAAGACACTTCAAAGAAAGAAAACTACAGACCAATATCTCTAATGAACCTAGATGCAAAAATCCTCAATAAAATTCTGGCGAATCAGATACAAAAACATATCAAAAAAATTGTGCACCATGATCAAGTAGGATTCATCCCTGGGATGCAAGGCTGGTTCAATATACGGAAATCAATAAATGTTATTCACCACATCAATAGACTTAAAAATAAGAACCATATGATCATCTCGATAGATGCGGAAAAAGCATTCGACAAAGTACAGCATCCCTTTATGTTCAAAACTCTAGAAAAACTAGGGATAACAGGAACATACCTCAATATTGTAAAAGCAATCTATGCTAAGCCTCATGCTAGCATCATTCTGAATGGAGAAAAATTGAAGGCATTCCCTCTAAAATCTGGAACAAGACAGGGATGCCCTCTCTCACCACTTCTGTTCAACATAGTTCTTGAAACACTGGCCAGAGCAATTAGACAGATGAAAGAAATTAAAGGCATAAAAATAGGAAAAGAAGAACTTAAATTATCACTATTTGCAGTTGACATGATTCTATACCTAGCAGACCCAAAAGGGTCTACAAAGAAACTATTAGAGCTAATAAATGAATTCAGCAAAGTGGCAGGATATAAAATCAACACGCATAAATCAAAGGCATTCCTGTATATCAGTGACAAATCCTCTGAAATGGAAATGAGGACAACCACTCCATTCACAATATCCTCAAAAAAAATAAAATACTTGGGAATCAACCTAACAAAAGAGGTGAAAGACTTATACAATGAAAACTACAGAACCCTAAAGAGAGAAATAGAAGAAGATCTTAGAAGATGGAAAAATATACCCTGTTCATGGATAGGCAGAACTAACATCATCAAAATGGCGATATTACCAAAAGTTCTCTATAGGTTTAATGCAAAGCCAATCAAAATCCCAACGGCATTTCTTGTAGAAATAGAGAAAGCAATTATGAAATTCATATAGAAAAATAAAAGACCCAGAATAGCAAAAACAAGGAAGTGTGAATCAGGCGGTATAGCGATACCAGACCTCAAACTATACTACAGAGCAATAGTAACAAAAACAGCATGGTACTGGTACCAAAACAGGTGGGTGGACCAATGGTACAGAATAGAGGACACAGAAATCAATCCACAAAACTACAAATATCTTATATTTGATAAAGGGGCTAAAAGCATGCAATGGAGGAAGGATAGCATCTTCAACAAATGGTGCTGGGAAAACTGGAAATCCATATGCAACAAAATGAAACTGAATCCCTTTCTCTCGCCATGCACAAAAGTTAATTCAAAATGGATCAAGGAGCTTGATATCAAACCAGAGACACGGCGTCTGATAGAAGAAAAAGTTGGCTACGATCTACATACTGTGGGGTCGGGCTCCAAATTCCTCAATAGGACACCCATAGCACAAAAGTTAATAACTAGAATCAACAAATGGGACTTACTCAAACTAAAAAGTTTTTCTCAGCAAAAGAAACAATAAGAGAGGTAAATAGGGAGCCTACATCCTGGGAACAAATCTTTACTCCTCACACTTCAGATAGAGCCCTAATATCCAGAGTATACAAAGAACTCAAAAAATTAGACAATAAGAGAACAAACAACCCAATCAACAAATGGGCCAAGGACCTGAACAGACACTTCTCAGAGGAGGACATACAATCAATCACCAAGTACATGAAAAAATGCTCACCATCTCTAGCAGTCAGAGAAATGCAAATCAAAACCACCCTAAGATACCATCTCACTCCAGTAAGATTGGCAGCCATTAGGAAGTCAAACAACAACAAGTGCTGGCAAGGATGTGGGGAAAAGGGTACACTTGTACATTCTTGGTGGGACTGCAAATTGGTGCAGCCAATTTGGAAAGCAGTATGGAGATTTCTTGGAAAGCTGGGAATGGAGCCACCATTTGACCCAGCTATTCCCCTTCTCGGTCTATTCCCTAAAGACCTAAAAAGAGCATGCTACAGGGACACTGCTACATCGATGTTCATAGCAGCACAATTCACAATAGCAAGACTGTGGAACCAACCTAGATGCCCTTCAATAGACGAATGGATAAAAAAAAAATGTGGCATTTATACACAATGGAGTATTACTCTGCATTAAAAAATGACAAAATCATAGAATTTACAGGGAAATGGATGGCATTAGAGCAGATTATGCTAAGTGAAGCTAGCCAATCCCTAGAAAACAAATGCCAAATGTCTTCTTTGATATAAGCAGAGTAACTAAGAACAGAGTAGGGATGAAGAGCAGGAGAAGATGATTAACATTAAACAGGGATGAGAGGTGGGAGGGAAAGGGAGAGAGAAGGGGAAATTGCATGGAAATGGAAGCAGACCCTCAGGGTTATACAAAAGTACATACAAGAGGAAGTGAGGGGAAAGGGAAAAATAATACAAGGGGGAGAAATGAATGACAGTAGAGGGGGTAGAGAGAGAAGAGGGGAGGGGAGGGGAGGGGAGGGGGGATAGTAGAGGATAGGAAAGGCAGCAGAACACAACAGACACTAGTATGGCAATATGTAAATCAATGGATGTGTAACTGATGTGATTCTGCAATCCGTATATGGGGTAAAAATGGGAATTCATAACCCACTTGAATCAAAGTGTGAAATATGATATATCAAGAACTATGTAATGTTTTGAACAACCAACAATAAAAAATTAAAAAAAATAATAATTGTGCAAGAATTATCAAAATCTCCATGAAAAGGTACTGTTGAGGAAAGATTTATTCTAACAGGTAACACAATTTACTATGAAACTGATTCCTGAGATTACCACAGAATGAAAAAAAACAGATAGCAAGAACTAAATGAGTAATGTGGAAACATTATAGAGAAAGAGATAATATATTCAAAAGATTTTGATTAGGAAAAATGGTACCTATTTATGTACAAACAAATAAGCCTGAATCTCTGTGGATGAGATCCTCCACATTTCCTCACAAAAGCCAATAACTTTTAGTCATCTATGGATTTGACAGTGGAGGGTCAGGGAAACTTTCAGAATAGAAATTGAGCTCTTGAAGTTAGAGGTGTTTAGACAGAACAAACTCTGAGAACTAAGTATGTTGCATAGTAGCAACTTCTAGAAAGTAAATATGAGGGGCTGGGGTTGGGGCTCAGTGATAAAGCCCTTGTCTCACATGTGTGAGGCCCTGGGACCCATTCCCAGCACCACGAAAAAAAAAGAAAGAAAGAAAAAGAAATTAAATAAATGTGAGTATCATTTACTCTCAACAAATAAACTTAAACCAAACTAATACTTTAAATAGTAGTTTAAAAGCATATACTTTCCAAAAGGAAATGTACAGAGACATTCCATGGACATTTTTTATTTAAAAAAGGAAGGTAATATTTGTTCAATAAATATGTATTGGACAAATTGATCTGAATATGTAACAATTCATACAGATCTTTGTTGATATTTTTCAGCCACATGATTGGGAACTTCCTTAGCCAATTCTTCAACCAACATTTTTTGTTGTAGCTGCTCTCTCTTTTCAATCTTCTGTCAAAAATTATGTGTCTGCCTTCAATTCAAAGATTCAGGAATATGGCTGGTTTGATTAGTGAGAACTCTTATGTGGTCTATGAACCTAGGGAGGGGTTCCTCAGAGTGAGTGTTTTCCCTCCAACCCCAGACATGAGATGCCACAGCCCTGCCACTTCCTGTCTGGGGTGGCATTCCCTGCCTTGGTCCCGCCAACAGGTGGCTGTCTCAGGCAGACCCTGGGTTTTTGTGCACCTCCCCCCACAGTCCTCCCACTGTGCCCTCTCTCAGTGCACAGAAATACACCGCTGAGTCCCCCAGCTGTGAGGCTGAGATGACAAGCTGGATGGATTTGCTTGCCTTCTGCAAATTCACTGAGTAGTGGCCTTCTGTGGCATTTTCCCGACCATAAGAGTTCTGACGGATGAGGAAGACCATCTCCCCACTGCTGGGCTGCTTGTACCAGAGGAGACTATAACGTGCATCACTGGTGTCATAGGAGCAGAGCAGGCTCACATCCTCCTTCTCCTGCACCCACATGGCTGGCTGGGCCTGAGTCACCTTCTGGGCAAAACTGGATCCTGAAGGGAAAAGGACAGAATCAGAAAGTTGAGGGACAAGTGGTGGGGAACAAAAAAAGAAAAGGTGCATTTTTAGACAGTGCTAACCATCCCTTCCAAAGTCTCTGTAAGGCTACCCTGTCCCCCAGTCCCTTAGTCACAGAGGAGGCCTATTCCCATCGGCATCATCCTTACCCAGCCACATTGATGCCATGAGCAGCTTCAGCAGCCTGGGCAGCACCATGTTTGCCTTTTTCCTTCAGAAGAAATTCTTCTTTGACTTCAGGGCTCTGCCCTGGGAGGGGAGCCTGACAGGGTGAAGGAGGAACCACTGGGCTCCAAACTGCTGCTGCCCCTGAACAGGAAACAGAGGCTTCCTGGTGCAGTGAGTTGATGTGTGTAACCTCAAACTTCTCTGTGTCCTGGCTGATGATCTCACCCACCCAGATTCCCTTCTTAATTTAACTCTTAATTTAACGACCATTGAACCTGAAAGCAAACATGGGCATACAGGAAGGAAAATAACCCCACCAACTGCTGAGCTCAGTCATCGCACCTGTGATGGCACTGGGAGGTGGCACTTGCTTAAAGCACTATGTGTGATGGATTATGGAGACAGGTGAGAGGCCATAGTCATGGATACTCTCACCTGTGTGTGGTGCCTTTTATTCTAGGGTAAAAATCAATCATTTTATCAACAGAAGTCTCATCTGTGTTTACTAATCACTGCAGCTCTCTTCACCTGCTTACTGGTATAATAATATTCCCCATTAGTTCTAGTGTATGTCTAGTTACCTATCTTGGACCAAGCAGCAGAAAATGATCATCATCATCATCATCATCATCATCATCATCATCATCATCATCTCTCTTTGCTAAAATGTTTAGAAGGAAGCCCTCAGACAGTGAATCCTGTCATAAAGGTCCTCTTCTTTTCTCAATTTAGTTTTCCCTGCCCAGCTCTGTTCATGAAGGCCAGATTAGGTACCAGAGTTGGGTCAGCAGATTATCCAACCTCTGAATTCTTATTTTTCCTTTTGCCTCAACTGGGGCCTTGATGAAACACAGCAAGTTCCCATATTCTGTATACCGAAATCTGCATGAAACCTATACTGAGTTACCTCAGACACCTCCCTAGGACAGATGACCATAGCATGAGAAATTGTGAAAACCCTTCTTTTTAATGTGCACATTAAAGATAAGGACATGTCCTAGAAACATTACTGACCAATGTGATAAGCAACAAAGACGCATTGCTGGCCATCCCCTGTATCTTAATACAATGGTCAAGATTATCCTCCTTCTCTCAAAATAATTTTATTTTTGTCTGGGTTGATGGAAGCATCTTCAGATATTGCACTGAAATCCCGATTAAATATGATGACACCACATCTATTGCAACTGCTCTGCTTTCTAAAAACACCCAACATTTTTTTTTAACCAGGAGGTTAACTAATTTATGAGATTATGAAGTTCTTCTCATAAATCCATTGCAGTTTTCATTCAAGGGAATCACATAATTGTACTTCTATTATTCAAAAATCATCCATATCCAAAAAAGATATTGACACTCCATGCCAATTTTGTTAATTAATTGAATCTTATCTTAAAAACTGAAAAAAGAATAATACCAGGCATATATTATATATTGGAAATTTACATCAAATACTTGAAATATTTGATGTCTTTATACTAATGAAAGAAATTTTGTCCTGAAGACAAAGTCCCACACCATGAGAGGCACCATAGAACCTGGAGGGTGGTGATGCTTGAGCAGATGATCATGATGAATTAAACATGGCTTTCTGACTAAAGTCCTTATGCAAGGGTATAGCTCAGTGGTGGAGCACCTGCATGGCATATGTGAAGCTCTGAGTTCCACTCCCAGTACCACAAAGAAAAAACAAAACTCAGGTGAAATTAATTACTGTATCAAACATGCTTGAGCCCCCACAGCCTGTAAAGCATTGTTCACCTAAGCTCTCGTGGCCCTGCTTCCCCCCAGCCACCCCACACAAAATTGTATGTTTTCTGGATGTGAAATGGTCACCTGTAGGCAGATGTAGCTCCCAAACCCTACATATTTCATTGTTTTACAAATTAAACCAGATAAATAAACTCAGCATAGTCCATTGTTTCATCACCATGCCAGCAGGCTGCTTTCCTAGCATTTCGTTTAATCAGCCTGTATGTCATTTGAACCCAATGACAGAGGATAGGAAAATAATGCAGAGAAAGATGCCTCTGAACCTGTGGAACTGTCCTCATTAAGTGCAATTTACTACCAGTTGAGCAAATAAAGTACAAGGAATTAATCCTTAGTTGCATTTAACAACTAGTATGACTCATTCTTAAATGACAAGAATTAAAAAGTAACTCACATTAAAAATCTTAACTAAGATTCTGTGGACAATGTCCTTACGCAGATAGTCCTCAGAAGATGAGTGCTGACCCAGGATCCTTGAAACACATGGGCCCTGGTCCCACCTGTACAGTGCCTCTGAGACTGTCAGAACAGAATTCTCTAGCTGATTGGAACCACTTGGTGTGCTATCTCCTGTGCAATCCTTATTTTTTTATACTTTAAATAGTATTTTCTAATCTTAATGGTAGAATGTAATGTATTTCTTATTGATCTTACTTTGTTCTAATTGCTAATAAAATAACTTGATTAGGTAATGCTTTATTTGAAGCAATAGACACACTAGTGTAATAATTCCACTCTCCAAGCCATTAGTAGTAAATATATAAATATATATTAAGTATATAAATATGTATTAAATATATAAAATAAATATTTTATAAATAAATAAATTATTTCACCAGAAATAATGATAAGGGAGAAATGAAAATTAAATGTGAAAGAATAAATTTAGCTTTCATTATAAATTGGAACTTTATCAAGAAAGAAAGGCATATATAAATAAAAATAAATACATTTATTTAAAGTAAATTTTGGACACAAAAATTGAATTTACAACAAAATGTCATAGAATGCATGTAGATAGTTAAATGGTTATATAGAGAACCAAATTGCATATTTTTCTTTTGTGTTTTTTTGTATGTTTGAAAAGAATGACAAAAACTATTCATTTGACACAAATATATACTATAAGATGAGTAATTAGAATTATTATATTGTATATTAGATATGTGGACTTGTGTATTTTTCATATAGACTTCTTCATATACTTTGACAAAATGTTAGAAACAAATTGTCTAGATACATAATTATCAATTTCACATTTTTTGTTATTTTACATATTTTATATTTGGCATCTAAAGTTTTATAATCAGAAAAATAAATAATGTGATAACTAAAGAGTCTAAAACCCACCAACAATAAGTATTATGTTGATCACAAGGGGTTATTTATGCGAGAGGAGTCTGAACTCATCTTCAAAGTCTGAATTTCAAGGTAAAATCCATTCTAATTCCCTTTAAGAATCCATTAATTGCAATTTTAGGATTACCTATAACATGCAAATATCTGGAGTTGGAAGCTCCTTCCTCCATGCTTTCCATATGCATCTCTTTAATCATCTGCCAAATTTCACTATGTGTATGATAATCAAAACACCATATTTTATACCTTAAATGTACCACAAATGCAAATTTAAAATAATTACTAAGAATAATCAACCAACAAAACATTCTAACTCTTTCTAGATCATCATGGACCTAACTTTTTTATTACATGCTTTTAATAACTATATGACAGTTACTGCTTTCCAAAACAAATATAGCAAACAGTATACTGGGAAGTCTATGGAGAGGAAGCAGCTCAGCTCAGTGGCAGGTTTGAGTACAGGCTGCAGGTGTCTGGGAAGCATCGTGCATCAGCTGCACAGAAGTAGACAGCTGAGTCGCCAGGTTGGGTGGCTGTAATGTTCAGGGAGAAGTGTTTGGCTTTCTTATCCAACACAACAATGAATCTTTGGATTTGATTTATCTCCTTATTTGAACGTATGTCTATAATCATCCGGAAACCTTTTCCAGCCTCTTGCTTATACCAAGGAAAGTAGTTCAAACCACTATCTGAATAAGTACAGTTGATAACAGCACTGTCTCCCTCCTGGACACTCAGGGTAGAAGGCCGCTGCTCCACCTTCTCTCCTTGGCTCACCCCTATGCAGAAAGTAAAAGAAAAAAAGATGATGTTGGCATGTGGTTACTCTTCAGAATTTTTGTTTTCTTCAGTGACTATGGAAAACCTGCATAAAGCCAGTCTTCCCAGATATCTAAAGAACATCTGCTAATATAGTCTTCTTCCCCCAAATCCTCAACTCACAGTCCAGATGCAGCCACACAAACATGAATAAAGCAAAGGGAGATGTCTTCATTGTTCTTCCCAATTGAGATCGATCTAGACTTGCAATCTACCCAGGAGCTACTTCTATTATCAGGTTTCTCCTTTTGTCTCTAACAATTCTAGTGGCTTCTCTTATTGTCAACCCAACCAATAAGAAAAAGGTCCTGTTTCTCCACCAAGTTTATTATTCAGAAGCCACTGCAATGAACCTCCACCTACTCTGCACCAGCTGGGGTAGACTGCCACCGTGTGGTCACATTTCTAACTACTGAAAAAGACAAATCCAGCCTGACAGATGCATAAAATCCCACACAGAGAAGAAATACATAAAACTAAGGAACACAATGCCTTCTAAAGTTCATAATTCACCAACAACTTACCCCAGAGATAATGAAGTGGATGAAATACCAGATAAATAATTGCAAACAATCATTATACAAATGATCAATGAATTCCAAAAGAACACAGAAAAACAACTGAATTAATTAAGGAAGTTAGTACAGGATAAGAATGAGAAATTCAATAAGGATATATAAATATTGAAAAAGAACAAGATAGAAATCTTGCAAATGAAAGTCACACTGAATCAAATAAAGTGTTTAGTTGAACATCTGTAATCCAGTGGACCATGCTGAAGACAGAATCTCAGAGTTGGAAGATAAAAGAGTTGGCCTTGAACATGAAAAAGTATTAAAGAAAATAAAATACATAATCATGACCAGAGTATACAAGAATTCTGATACAACATTAAGAGACCAAATTTAAGAATCATTGGAATCAAAAAGAATACTCAGATATAGGCTGATGACATAAATAAGTACTTGTGGGAAATAACAAAAATGTTTCAAAACCTTTTAGAATGTGAAGGATATTCAAATACAGGAGGCATTCAAAACCTCAAATAGACAAGAACAAAAAAGAATGTCTCTTGGATCTGGGTTGTGCTTAGTGGCAGAGCACTCGCCTAGCATGTGCGAGGCACTGGGTTTGATCCTCAGGACCACATAAAAATAAATAAACCAAATAAAGATAAAAAAAAAGAATGTCTCTTGATGTATTATGATTAAAGTGTTTACCATAAAGAACAAGGAGAGAATTTTTAAATCCTCAAAAGAAAAACAGCAGGTTGTATCAAGAGGAAATCTCACCAGAATTACTTCTGGTTTCTTAGCACAAACTCTAAAATCCAGGAGAACTTGTAATGATGTGTTCAAAGTCCTGAAAGAAAATAACTGTCAACCAAGATTGCTATATCCAGCAAAGTTTTCCTTCAGAAACAAAAAAGAAATTTAAATACTTTCCAAGAGAAGAAAAATCTAAAAGAATTTACCAATACGATGCTGGCACTACAGAAAATACATTAAGAGATACTACATACAGATGAAACCAAAAACAAACACAAGAGCTCACAAATGAACAAATCTAATTTAAAGAGGAGCTAAGTTGAAAAATAAGATAAAATTAAAAACAAATCAGAATGGCAGGAATGAGCAATTCACCTCTCTATAATAACATTAAATGTAAATGATCACAGCTCTTCAATAATGGAAAATGATATATCATGCAAATGGACCGCAAAACAAATATATGTAGCTACTCTCCTATCTAACAAAGCAGACCTCAGAGAAGGCATTAATTTCCAGGATTTATACAAAGAACTCAAAAAACTCATCACCAGAAAAATAAATAACCTAATCAATAAATTGACAAAGGAATTGACAAATAATTCACAGAAGAAGAAATATGGATGGTCAACAAATACATGAAAAAATGTTCAACATCTCTAGCAATGAGAGAAATGAAAATTTAAAAAAACTACACTGAGATTCCATTTCACTCCAGTCAGAATGGCAATTATCAAAGAATGCAAATAACAATAATTTATGGCAGGGATATATGAAGAAATGTAATTTTATACATTGTTGGTGGGACTGCAAACTGGTGTAACCACTCTGGAAAGAAGTATGGCAAATCCTTAGAAAACTTGAAACTAAACTGACATTATGAAATTGTTTTTTCACAATATAACAGAAAAAGCATATATTGAGGACTGGATGTGTGAGACATGGAGTAGTATGAGAGGGAAAGAAATGACCCTGCACCATGGAACTCCAAGAGCATTTTCACATCCACACATAATCTATTGTGTATGAGGTTACACTAACCCATCTTTGGGCCTCTTCAGAAGCAGAGACAGGATCCTCAGGATGGGTTTCCATTACTGCTGTACAACATCAATAATGGATGATGGATTAGGAAGAGACTACTTCCACATAAAATAGAATAAAATGGGACTTTAGTAAGTATAAAGATCATCACAGGGTTTGGTATGGAGGTGTACTCCATGTGTGAGCCAGGGATCAATAGGATGTTTCCTTCTGATTATTTCTTTCATTTACCTGTAATGTCATGTTGTTCTCATAGGAAACACACAAACACTTGAACAAGCTGGAAAACCTAGGAGAGACAGACATGTAACTTTACATGTAAAGAACTTTTTCAAATATCCCTATTGATTTCCAGCTTGAACCACCTTCTTTCAAGCATAACTTCAGGATTCAAGATTCTTAACCAGGGATGGCTATAATATTGTAAAACTTTGTGCAAAGTGAAAATTGATGATACCTTGTTTAAAAAGCAGAAAAAGTGCTATGAAATAATATAATATACATGTCTCTTTACAAAATATTATATTATTTATAAAACACAATAAGATTTATAGTTATACATATAAGTATCAACACAAACTTAAATTAGCATCATAAGTTTACATTAAAATAAGTAATATTTCTTTGTGAATATATCTTGTGAATAATCTTTCTTTGTGAATATTTCTTTGTGAATAAAAATTTTCTGCCTTCTTCTAATGCAATTTAAGTTATATGATTTTCAAAACTTATTCTTTTTAAAAATTATTTATATATTATTTTTGTCATATATGAGAGTAGAATGTATTTTGACATATCATACATATATGAAATATAATGTCCAATTTTTGTGGTTGTACATGATGTGGAGTTACACTGGTCATATATTCATATAAACCTAGGAAAGTTATGTCCAATGCATTCTACTGTCTTTTCCATTCCCATCCTTCTTTCCTTCACCCAATCTCTTTTCCAATCCAGTGAACCTATTGTGAGTCAGCATCCACATATCAGAGAGAACATTCAGGCTTTCATTTGGGGGGATTGTCTTATTTTGCTTTGCATTGTAGTCTCCAGTTCCATCCATTCACTGGAAAATTCCATAATTTCATTTTTCTTTGTGGCTGAATCATATTCCATATTCCATTCATCTATTGAAGGGCATCTGGGTTGATGTCATAGTTTAGCCATTGTGAATTGAGCTGCTATAAACATTGATGTGGCTGCATCACTACATTATGTTGATTTTAAGTTTTTCAGATATATGTCTAGGAGTGGGATAGCTGGGTCAAATGGTGCTTCCATTCCAAGTTTTCTGAGGAATCTCAGAAAAGAGATTCCTGTTTTTAAGAGTGATTGCACCAATTTGCAGTTCCACCAACAATGAGAGTACCTTTTTCTCCACATCCTCATGAACATTTACTATTACTTGTATCCTTGATAATTGCCATTCTGACTGGAGTGAGAAGGAATTGCATTTCTCTAATTGCTAAAGACATTGAACATTTTTTCATATATTTGTTAACCAGTCATATTTCTTCTTCTGTGAAGTGTCTGGTCAGTTACTTTGCCAATTTATTGATTAGGTTATTATTTGTTGGTGTTAAGTTTTTGAGTTCTTTATATATCTTGTAAATTAATGCTCTAACTGAAGTGCATGTGGTCAAGATTTTCTCCCATTCCATAGGATCTCTCTTCACATTCTTTATTGTTTCCTTTTCTGTGAAGAAGGTTTTAGTTTGATACTATCTCATTTATTGCTTCTTGATTTTATTTCTTGCACTTTCAGAGTCTTGTTGAGGAAGTCAATTCCTAAGCTGACATAAGGGAGATTCATGCCTATTTTCCTCCTAGTGGGCATGGGGTCTCTTGCCTAATGTGTAGATCCTTGATACACTTTGAGTTGAGTTTTGTGCAGGGTGAGAGATAGGGGTCTAATTTCATTTTGTTACACATGGATATCCAATTTTCCTAGCACCATTTTTTGAAGAGGCTATTTATTCTTCAGTGTATGTTTATGGCATCTTTGTCTAGCATGAGATAACTGTTATTTATGTGGGTGTGTCTCTGTGTCTTCTATTCTGTACCATTGGTCTACATGTCTATTTTGATGTCAATATAATGCCATTTTTGTTACTGTTGCTCTGTAGTATAATTTAAGGTCTGGTATTGTGATGCCTCCTGCTTCACTATTCTCACTGAGGATTGCTTTGGCTATTCTGGGCCTTTTATTTTTCCAGATAAATTTCATGACTTCTTTATCTATTTCTATAAAAAGTGCCATCAGAACCTTAGTAGAAATTGCATTAAACCTGTATAGTGCTTTTGGTAGTATGGCCATTTTGACAATATTAATTCTGTCTCCTATCCAAGAACATAGGAGATCTTTCCATCTTCTAAGGTCTTCTTCAATTCATTTCTTTAGAATTCTGTAGTTTTCACTATAGAGGTCTTTCACTCTTTTGTTAGATTGATTCCCAAATATTTTTTTGTCAAAACTTATTCTTTTAACAACTTCATTTTGGAGAAATATAATTGGAGGTGATGACAGATGCCCTTGATAATTGCACAATTGTAAACTAAGCCAGGCACAATGATGCAGACTTGTAATCCTAGCACCTTGGGAGGCTGAGGAAGGAGGATCACAAGTTCAAGGCCAGCCTCAGCAACTTAGGAAAGCAGTAAGCAACATGAAGCCCTGTCTCAAAATAAAAAATAAAAAAGATGGGGATGTAGCTCAGTTGTAAAGTGTTCCTGGGTTTAAACCCCAGTACACACACACAGACACACACACACACACACACACACACACAGAGAGAGAGAGAGAGAGACACACACACACAAGATTGCAAATTAAATTTCTGATTTGGAGAAATGATGCAAAAGATACTGAAGTTCTTAAAAAGTATTTTCTATGATATGATACCTAATAGCTTAGTTTGAAATTTAAAT